CTTTCTCTTATCCCTTTGTTTTATGTTTATAAATTTTTTTATTGATTTTGTTTGTTTTACTTTTTAGAAATCTTTTTATTAATATGTTAGGTGTTTAGAAATATTTTTTTCTTTTTTTATCAAAACAAAACTCTTTTTTAAAATAAAAAAATGACAAAATTTTTAAAAAATATAACAAGCATTTTATCTTAATGTTTGTGATTGATTTTCTTTTACTTTGTTTATATAGATTTATGTGAGTTGTCTAATTTTATTATTTATTGTTTTATTTGTGATTGTTTAATTATATTTATTGTTTTTATTTTTCATTAGCTAGAAAAAATAATTAATTGAATAATAGATAAAATACAACAAAAAACATAAAATTAATTTTCTTTAAAAGAACAAAAAATAATAAATACTTGATCCAATGTCGAGACACTTTTTCTCAAGTCAAAATCAATGAACTCATTTTATTCTCGTATTTGCGCTTATTTCTTTAATTGGGTTTACTTATAATCTATTCATTTCATCCTCATCTAACAAAATGTACCCCGTTCTCATTAAGTGTAATAATTTTATCGCTTTCATCTTGATTGTATTTTAATATTTTATCCATCTCTCACTTACACGCTCAAACCATTTTCATATTAATTCTCGATTCAATATCGAGCCCTTTTTCAAAACACCTTTGTAAGTCGATTGTTTCTACGATCGCCATAAACCAAACCCAAAACATTCTTGATTCATATATCAAGTCATACCCTAACTTGTAAGTCAACTGCTTTTTAACATCGCCATCAACCTCATGCACACACTTGCACCTTCTCTTTGGTTGTGGTTTCGTTTACTAAGAGCACCCTTAGGGACTAGGAATCAAACTAACTTTTTCTCAAACCATTGATCCAACGTCAAGTGGTTACTTCCCTCATAAGTCAGTTGCCTTTTGTAATCGCTATCACGCAAATTCAAACTTCGATCTTTTATCGATTATTTATTTTCTTAAAACTAAAATCTCTTTCTTTTCTCAAAAATACAAAAATACTTTAATCATATTTCTAACCTGTTTCAGAAATCTTAATAAAAACACTTACCTTCTTTTCAACCTAACCTTAGGTTTAAAGTTTCTTAACTCCATGTAGATGTTCTACCATGGACACTTATCTCCCCCCTAGAACCTTGACCATAGCTAAGAGTTCATCACCCTTATTAAGAGGAACTACAGATGCTCTGATTCCATTCCCATCAGGATACGTAGGCACGAAATGCGATGTCTTTACGAGCATACTTAGAAATAACACCTTAGGTCTCTCTTTTACCTTTTCACCCTTTAGCATAAAATAACACAATAAAACAAGAGATTTCTGTAGAGTGCTACAGATACTTAAGATGCTAGCACCTTCCCTAGGTATAACCAACCACCGAACATTAGATTCTCTTTTGCTTTATTTTTGCATTTGGGTTATTCTTTCTTTTTTCCTTCCCTTGGATAAATTGAAGATTGGTGGTGAATTAAGATTTATGATTCAAGTTAATCAATAGCTTGATATCTAATTCTCACTACGACAGTTGTGTTTTGCTTGTAGTAGCTTTTGGAATGTTGGTTTGTATAACTCTGTATTGTAGCTTCATGATGGGACTTTTGGCTCAACCGTGTGAGCAACTTGCAACATGTGGAGAGTGTTTGCTAGTGGCTTATGTGAAGGCATGCTCCATGGGCTTTATTTGTCATATATTTTAGTTTTTTTTGTTTTGTAAACTTGAAATGGACTTTGTAATGTAATTTATGGCTTTTCCTTGCCATTTTTCACGAGCCTTTTTTTGTATAACTTGTTGCAATTGGCATAATGGTTTTTGTTACAATTTCATTATTATTTTTTATTTTGTAGAACTTTTGGCGATAATGGACTTTGAAGTTTGGAATTGGAATGGACTTTGATAATAATGTGCACCTCCATATTTCTATTTGAACCATGCTTGATCCTTAGTTATGAGCATTCCTTGTAATTTCTTATCTTTGATTAAAACATGACTATTAACTTGAATTTCCAATTAGATCCAAAATCTCATTATCCAAATTCCACCCTTCTTAGATTCTCACTTGAAATGAATGAAATCTTGAATACATCTTGAGAAATAAAATCAAGCATAACTCAATCTTGGCCTTGAATGGACTAAAACCTTTGAATCAAAATGAATCATTCTTGAGCAATATTATGAACACATGAACATGCTTTGAAATCAGAGAATCTTGACTTAAAATATGAACTACAATGCCCAAAACCCTAGTTGTAAATGAACTAATAACTTTAGCACAACCTAATAACTTGAGAATGAAGACAACTCTTGTTTGACTAAGATTAGGTCAAACTCCACTAAATTTCAATCATCATTGCATATATGCTTGTCCTGACAACATTGTCTGAACCATGATTCAATTTTGCTAGAGCTGAACTTAAATAAGAACATGAAAACAATAGGCACCTATGTTTGGATTTTTGAATAGGGGTTAGTAAACATAAACAACATAAAAGTAAACGGAAACAAAAATGAGGGTAATATTATACAGGTAGGACAAAATTGGGGTATGACACTATATTTAGGATTTGGCGAGCCTACCTTCTATGGACGAAGCTAATCTTCATGCCCTCGACAAATCCTTATGCTATGGTGATTAGCTCTTAGGGTACAACACTTTCATCTCTTCTGGGGGATTGGATTCTTGATGTCATTATTTAATGTTATGGACATCGTCCTCCGATGTCTAGTTATAGTGGTGTAACTCGTCCACGAAGACACGTATCTCCGCTAGGGCGTCAACATCACCACTACCACTGGTATGTTCTGGCGTAAGGGTTATAACTCTCCCGTTAACCATGGCTGAAAGTGGCTAGGTGTAAAAGTGAATGGTAACAATGAGTAGGGTGATGATGATGAAGAATGTGTGGCCTAGGTTAGTTTTATTGGGACCCCATGGTGGGCACCATTGTACTAGTCAACAAATACATGTGTACGTGTTACCCCTGCAAAGACAGGGGTACTCAGAAGCCTTAGTAGGTATATTACTCTAAATGGTGGTTAGAGTTTTTCTGCAGCGACGATAAGCTCTATACGGTGGTGTTTTGTGGTTGTTTAGATGACCTGCTCAGTGAGGTGAAATGCTCTGTATGTAGCGTAACAATAGTGTGGTATACTCAGTATCAGCTAAAATTTGTCACATTCTCCCATTTGAGGTAAGGTATTTATAAAGGTTTTGAGTCTAAGGTTTTCTATGAAAAAGTTATTGTCCACCCAGTCAATCGTGGGCCGTTGAATCCCTATTTTTAAAGGGACGTGAGTCAGTTCTTGACCCGAACTTCTCTCTTCTCCAAAAACGTTTTATCTCACGCTTTCCATTATTGGATGATAAGAAAGCATTTGTGGGCGAGATGATACCTCCCTAAAAACGACATATTAATGTCGCCCTAAGCAAATCTTTTACAAATATAACACTATTAAATTACCCTGATATTAATTAATTCTCTTTCTTGAAAATAAACATAATATTATATAAATTATTAATAATTATTAATGTATTTAATATCAAAATTGTAATGACTTTGTCAATAGTTTATAATATATTTGCCTTTGAGTGATAAGTTGTTAAATCATTTATTTAATATTAATCTATTTTAGTACGAGTTGTTGTAGAAAAAACACTACATTACAAAGGAACCTCTCCCCTCTCCGTCTCTCTTCCGTATCAACTTTTCAAGTTTGTGCCAAAAAGAAACTAAACCCACACAATTTTGAGAAGACTGACAACCACCGTTTCTACTAAAACTCACTTTCTTATAGTTTAATTTATCAATTTTAATTAGCATTTATAATCTTGATTAGTTGAAAATAATATATATCTTCTTGAAATATGACAATTTCAAAAAGATAAATTCTACATAAACCTAGAATCAACATATAAAATCTTTTTTATTAGTTAAGTAATTAAGAATATCACAGTTAATAATTGAACAATGAATATGACGTTTTCGGTGCATGTATTTGAATGTTTTGACAAAGTAATGAATATATTATTTGTGTTATAATTTTTTTTTAAATTTCTATATTTTGGAGACATCTTGTAATTTCAAATTAATAAATCATCAAAATATTTGACAGTAATAAATATATAACTTTTTTATACTAGTTATCTGTTTTTAAGACATTTTCATTAATTTTTTAAACAATGCTTCCTCAATTTTTTTATTATATACTATTTTCATATACTAAAAAATATAGTTAATTTTATATGAAAAATAAAAATTATAATCTATTTTACAAAAATATTATTTAATAATAATTTTGAAAAAAAGAAAAAAAATACACTGTATAAAATATTTTAGATTGTGAATCAATCACAATCATTTATCTGAATAAAATATATTTTTATTTAAAAAATATTGATATTACATAAAATATATTTTACATTTAAACCAAATAAAAAATTTAAATGAAGAAATATTAATAACTAGTTAATCGTTTAATTAAAAAAATATTAATATCAAATCTATGTTGTAAATGAGACAAAAATTGAGTTATAATTTGAAAGCTACGCAGATACAAATCCCAATTTAACCCCATCGACATTTGTAATTACTGAAACACCCTTTTCGTTCATTCTTCCATTGATTACACTGCAATTAGGGTTTTCAACACTCGTTCTTTTTTCCCTCATTCACACTTTCCATCAAGTTACGTTCAATCTGTTTTGTATTTGCTGGTGCTGGTGCTGAATTCTCTGGAACTGGTTCTTCAATTTGTGAGTTCTTTTGTATTTTGGGTAAAGTTTTTAAAAAACGAGAGTATGTTTTCTGTCTCTTATTTCGGTTCTAGGGTTTATATTTGTACTGTTTTGGTGGGATTTATTTGCTTGTTCCCTGTAATTGTGATAGAGGGTTGTTGTGAATTGAGATTCAAATCTGAGAGTTTGGATATTGGTTGCTAGTTTCTGGAGAAAAATGTTGTAATTGAAGGGATGCAATGCGATGGAGAGTCCTCAGTCTGTCAACAGTCCAAGAAGAACACTGAGTCTATCAAGACAACGGAGGAAAACTGTGTCGTTTCTCGATTCCGATGATAAAAACAAACCCGCATCTGGTTTATCACCTGATCATGGCCCTAAGCCTTCTGAAGTTTATGGTTTCGTCGGATCTATAACCACCGTTGTTGCTACAGGTCTTCTTTCTTATCGTTTATTTGTTCTGTACAATTTTGTAGAACTACTGGTTTACCATGTGCCAACAATGTTTTTAAGGTTTTTTGTGAAATTATTGTTGCATTTTATGATTTATATTTTTATTTGTTCATTTTCCTTTGTGAATAGTTATTTTCTTGGTATGGGCATATGTTCCAGAATCATGGCTACATTCTATTGGCATATCCTACTATCCTAGCAGGTTAGATAGCTTAATTTCTGTTGTCATTTGAAACTTTAGCAACTATGCAGGTCCTCTATTGTGTGTGTAATTGTTTGGGTGCACGAAAACAAGAAGGTTACTTTGAGTTAACTCTAAAATGAGAAGAATTCTCGAGTCTTAATTTAATTTTGTACAATTGTAAGCTCAGCTAAGGTGTATGAAATAGGTGTATGTAGAAAGGAATTGCAAACCAGTCAACTCAACTGTTGTGGAAAAAAGAAATTAACGTGAAAATTTTGCATCAATTTTTGTTCTCCAAATATTAAGCTGGGGGAAATAGGCTAAAACATATGGAATTACATTGTGAATTCAACTGTTTATGAAAAAATTGATTGAAAATTACTTGTGCATTGCAGATACTGGGCTTTGGCGGTACCAACCTATGTGATGGTGACCATTGTATTAATGTTGGCATTCTACATTGGCCTTAATTTCATGTCAACGCCTTCTCCTGCATCCATAAACACAGTTTATGGTGAGTTTAATAATGCAGATTTTTTAGCAACGCGGGTGTGGTTAATTCTAATTGCTATATTACTTCCTACCTAAGCTTTCTTGCACATGTGAATAATTTATTTATATATCTGCATAAAAAAGTTGTGTCCGTCCTCTACATCTAAGTTATGTCATTTTACCATTGGAGAATTTCATTTCGGTTATTCTTTTCTCAAAACCGTGATATCACTTAGGGCCAAGTGAATTTGTGAGTTCAAGTTTTTTGATACCTGATTTTGACATCTCTTTGTTCAGATGAATTCAGCAGGGACCCTCTGTGTCATGATTTTTCAGAAGAGGGGGATGAGAAGCCCATTGATCCCATATCTGATATTGGTATCGACAGAATCAATGATGCTATGTTCAATAATTCAGCCTAGCAAAAAGACATTCAGAGCTGTTTCCAAATTCCAATATTAGGGTGGATATTCTGCCAAGCAGTTGCTACTGATGTGAGTTTTTGCATGAGCTTATGATGCTATAGCTTTCAGACATGAGCTTGGTTGAGTTGGTCATGTGAAGGAATGATTGGATTCTTTTAATTCATAGTGACTTTTGAGTATTACATTACCATGTTATCCATCCGCGCCGTTTCTGGCATTAATGCACTAATAATAGACTAATTGATATCTTGCACATTTGTATTTTGAGTGCAATTATACTTGAAGGTTAAGAAAGTGTGCTCACTTATACATTTGCATATGCAGAATTGTAAACTGGAGCTAAGTTAGATGCTAAGATCAGAATGGTATTTTGTGGTATCAGAATGGTATTTGAGAGGCATGCTAGCTTGTGCAAGAAGTGTGGCATATTTCTACCATATGAATGTGTTTGCACTTTACAGAGTCATTTTGTGGTGATGTGTGTGAGGACAATCTGTGGGCTATGCCTTTGGTATGAAACAGTGATGTGAGAGCCTGAAATTCTCCACCACCATCTGTTTGCACTACTTTCACATTAGTAATGAATTGTACGTCAAGAGCGATGAAGTGTGTGAAAGTCATTAGCACATCCGATTTTCAATTTGAGTGGAAACACATAGATGTATTTAGTACAAGCATCTACACAAATAAGTAGATATTTATACCAGAGGAAGAGATCGTAGGAGTTGGACCTTATACATCAACAAACAACAAATCAAAAGGAATACGATAAACTGAGTGAGATAGACAACTAGGAAGTCTATACACTTTTACTAGCCAGCAAGGACTACACAATTCAAATTGAGATTTATGGGGTACATAAATATTGCGTAGGGATACAATGAAGGTCCCATGTTGATGCAATGTTTGTTTGAGAAGATTGATGAGTGTGTTGACAGTTTGTAAATCACCAAAAGTGTAGAGCCCACCTATGCCCAGAGATCCTTGCTAGAGAACATCATAGTGGGCCTGTGATTTTACCAAACACTTGTCAGCATTGGACTTTAAGAATACATCATTATCCCTTGCAGGATTGCTAACAAAGATATGCTTTTTTGTGATATCAGGAACAAGAAGTAAATTCCTGAGTGTCAATTGTGTGTGCTTTATAAGGTGACTGAAAATATGTGGAACCAATAGAGGTTATGTACAAACCTTGAACATTATGCAAAGAACTTGATGAGATCCTGGAATATTGACACCATTAAGTAGGAAATCAGAGTTATTAGGTTGAATGGATGTGTTGTGACTATCAATACAAGTTCCTATAAGATAGGCTTGAGGTTGTCCTTGTTAAGGAGTGGGAGTAGTTCTAGATGCAAAACTAGGTGGTCCTCGAGTAGATGAAGCTTCAGCCACTGATTTTAGCCATTTGTTCTTTGATTCCAGCCAGGCGAGGGAGATTTACTCCACTGTTGAGGTGTATTCTAGGTTGATGATATCATATATGAGTGTCTATGATAACACACTTGCATCATGACCTGTTTTGAAGCAGATCTGACACTGAACCTTGGATCAGCCTCCAAATCAAATTCATCTGCCACGATCAAAGGTACGGCCACCACGTTGAGGTGCACAATTAAGAGTTTAAACAGGTTGAGAAAAAACACCAGGTGTTGATATTATGCCCTGCGTAATGTTAAGTGATAAAGGTTTTGTTAACACAGATTTCTTCACCTTGTCAAGTTTAACATCGACTTTGCTTCAATGATTGGACACATAACAACATCACAATATTGAATGATAGATGCAAGTGCACTATAATCATCTAGTAATCCATCTAAATTTGCTTCTAGCTGATGATCATGTGATCTTCAATTGAATCTAGCTCTACAAACTTCACCAAACGGTAATGAAATAACATAATACAATAATAACTACTTTTACTAACTTAACCAAAGATAATGAAATAACCTATGGCACAAATTCTAAACACGAGTTAAATATGTAGTTGATATCATAAATAAAAATGTAACAAAAGGAAATTTGCTAGACTAGAAGAAAAATACTTCAAATAATGAGATAAGACTTCCGATTGCATTGCAAGAAGATGAAAAACTATCGGCAAGAATGAAAGAAAATGAAAAACTATCGGCAAGAATGAAACGAAAAAGTTTAGAAAAAAATAGAAAAGAAACAATAATCTTAATAGTAAGAAGACCTAAAAATTAAGAACACGAAAATTAAAATCGGTTTAACACTTGGTATGGGCCAAGTCACTAGATTGTGGTAGTTTTGTGTGCATTTTATTATTGGGGATTGTTTTTTCTATTTTTAGGGGTTCTTCTACAGTGAAATGACTAAAATGTCTTTGACGTTTGGAGATACATCTCTGGACATTCGTTTTTTCACTCTTTTTTTTTATACACAACTGAAATAAAAATGGTGAGAACTCTTATTCAGTTGAAATTTGATTTGGAGATGCATCTCAGTATGCACGAAAGGTTTATTCAGAGCTGCATCTCTGTAACTCATCTTAGTTCATTAGTTAATGAGATTTTCAGAGATGTATATCCGAAAAATGTTTTGTTAGATCAAACAAGAAACAGATAAATAATGACAGAATGTAAAACCAGCATAAATTAACTCAAAAATAAAACATTACATAGATAAACATTACATAAATTTAACAATTACATGTTATTAAAAATGGACGGTTTGAGACATTGCAACATTCTTATAATATATTAGTGATCTTTGAATCATCACATTCACTTCAATCAGATCTTTTATTGAGTAATAGTAAAAGCTACTCCACATCACCTTTAAATCATCATTCGTCTCCAGTTTAAGCATGGTGAATCGTATGTTCTCTTCGTTGTCTATAGAGGGTGAACAGTACTTGAGATTAACAACTCTCTGACTTTTTGGATATCGCAAGAGACTATTCAGTTTGGTTTTCAGATCGACAAGAAATATGTCTTCGCATATCCGAAATTGAAGTAGGGGTTTTGCGTCATTGAAATACACAAATGTAAGAAGTGGATATGTACTCATTCCGATTTGTGTAAAGAAAATGGATTGAGAGGCCCTATTTATAGAAGTCGTGTGGAGCAATAAAGACGTTACAAACATGATCATATCTGCATGAAATACTTCAAAGATGCATATTTGGATCCGTTTTTTTTTAAATAAGGGTCTTTCTGGAGATGCATCTCCGGATGATCCTTTATTTTATTTTTATTAAATGATTAGATAGTGTGTTCTGAGATGCATCTTCACATATCCACCCAAAAACTATGGAGAACATAACTATGCCAATATGCAGAGTAGAATGTGAAAAGCAAAAATGTCCAAAAAATAAAACCCAATTTTATAACGTTATGCAATGCGTTAATTACAAAAAAAAACGTTACATTGTTAGAAATGTGTTGAACAGTTTGATGGAATCGGGATGACTCCAAAATATTTCTCAAACAATGATTTTATTCTCAGAAACTCCGAACCTCAAACATAGTTGTCATTTTTCAAAAACGTCAAGAGTTGTTGCATCTTAGGTCTTGGTCCTCTTACTGTCATGTTGTCTCGAGCACGCGCATTCTATATTTACTTGATATTTGAAACATTTAGAGGTATTTTCCGTTTTAAAGACGCGAGTATGTTTTTCAAAGTCATCATGTTTAATGTCATATTCAAAACAAGTTCCTCTCCTCCAGCACAAGGCGACATACAATGGGATGACTGACTAGCCTGTCATCCAAGACATAATTATGTATATTGGAAATCACATTAAATTTCCATGTCTCATGCGCCATACGTTATCTGTGCAATTTAAACAGACACTCACATTTTCTCGATCCAGTGTTATCTCGTTTCAACTTCCTAATCTTTGGTTGGTATGTGCAAATTCTTCGCATACCATTGTTACAAATGTTTTTCTTCTATCCAAACCATTGTCGGACCTTTTAATTAAAACGTCAAACCTCAATTTTTTTGTCTCTATGCGGACCCATTGTAGTATATGTTGACGAACAAAAACACTTATTTATTTTTAAAGTATGCACAAACATCTACCTCTACAAAGGCCGGCCAAGCACCTGATTTAGCATCATCCTCCACATCATTCGTTTTAACATCATTATTCACATCATCCAGTTTAGCATCATGTTTCCCTTTGACCGATTTAACCTCCAAGCTCACTATAGCTTTGGAAAACATATTCGGGTGCACCATATATTACCACCAATAACAAAAAAGTAATGTTACATTTCAAACTATCAGAACAATTCAAAGATGCACATCTGGAACTCACTTAACTTCGTTCAAATATGCATCTCCGAACTCAATAATCATTTTTCAGCTGAAAACAAAGATTGGTGCAAAGAATGAGAGATGAAATGCATGATATTTACCTGCAATTCCATATTATTTTGCTCCCATTTGAAGTGATGAAATACAAAAATGATGTTTTGGTGTTGAAAAGTTGATTGAGAATGAGATAAATATTTTCAAGGGTTTTGTTATGGTTTGTTGTTTTAGCATGAAGAAGAAGCTCATGCAAGGTGGGTGTTTTATCAACTTTTCCGCTGGACATTTCTGGAGATGCATCTTTAGAAATATCATTGAGTTGTTATTTAAATGATTTGCGTTAATAACAAACCCATAAACCAGTCCATGGGATATTTCGGAGATGAATCTCCGGCTACACCCAAATATGATACAGATATGCATCTTTGGTCAATGTTTTTTCAAAAACTGGTGTGATACTAAAAAAAGAGAAGATAAGCGTGACTAGCTCGATTTAAGGTGGCATACAATGGGATTATCGACTAGCTCAGTTTGCAAGACATGATTATGTATACTAGCAACCACATTAAATTTCTATGTATCATTCACCTTACAATATCTGTGCAATTTAAACTGATACTCACATTTTCTCAATCTGATGTCATCACGTTTCAACTTCCAAATTGGTGAAACATACATATCACTTCTCTCTCACATCTAATGGTTGCAAA